CATTATTGGGCTAGAGTACTGTCAATCTGACGATGCCTGTATGCCACTAGATCAGAGTGCTGTCAATTGCTGCCTGATTGTTGCATGCAAAGTTTGCATTTGGAGCGCTCAACAACGCCATTAGATCAGTGGGCTCTGTCAGTGCTTTGGCAAGGTAACACTTTTTTTTGCCATGCAATAAAGCTAAGTTCAAAGGCCAATTTAAAATATTGGTACAGTAAATAAAGTGCACAAAATCAGTATTTTGTTTAGGCAGTATTTGTGGCACATTTGTCCAAATATTTGTGGCAGATTTGTCCAAAAGGTGTGCGTTTTTTGCGCCAATCCATTGTTAAAGGATAAGCGTGTCATGTAATATTCCCATATAAACTTTAACATCCAATTAAAAAATATTTGTACAGTAAAATTCGCTAATTCACAAGATCAATACATCCTTTATTAGACTGCTTTGTCGAGTTAAATGCATCCTTACGGAGGTGTCAAAATGCTGAATTAATTCATTCACTTCCAACAGCGCTTAATGGGAGCAGCGTCACAGAGGGCAGAGCGTCACATTATTTAAAGGGGATGTTAACGCGTTAACAAGTAGCAAATTATTAAGTAGCTGCATTGGTTACTTTTATACCACTGATAAAGCTTTTATATGTAGTTTGGGGTAACAGGGGTTTTATAGGTTTGACTGAAATAATAATGCAATAACTGACACTTTAAATCAATGTTTCAAGAAACAACAACAAAAATTGTTTTAACAAAAAACAGATAAAGACAAAAAAGTAGCCATTGATAATATCTAAACAATATGTATAGTATAGTATATAGTATCTAAATCAAAATATAATAAAATGAATTTATGTGTGATTTATGTGTAAATTATGTGCAATGTCTTAGCCACTAGGGATTGTTACATAGGGATACACAGGCATCTAGTGGCAACACAATGATATTACAGATACTAAATTGTGCAAAACGTTTATCTTAACAGTCAATTTACAAATAATGCATTCAGATTTGTGGAACTCAATGCACTGAATCTCCACAAATTAGTGCCATTACTATGACAACCAATTTGAATGTGACAAGCAACTGGTGTCTGAAAAGAAAACACACACACAGAGTGAACACTGAACACACACCTTTATCTCCATTAATGATTGTTGCTGTCAGTTAAAATAATTAATATTATTCAGGCTTACTACAGTACAGTAAGGCAAGGTTATTACATTAGCCTTTATACTAAAAATGTGATTTATTGTGTAGGCCAATTAGATTGCAAATGTGTATTTGTTAGTTTAAAGGTTTGTCATGAACATGTATACAATTTGCAGGCATTAGATGTGTAATTACTGATTGTTTGTTTGTTTTTATTCAGCTCTTACAGTGTTTTTTTTGTTTGTTTTTGGAAATTAAATCCTTTAGAAACATCAGTTCCTGAGAGTAAACTGCATCTGTTCAGCAGGGAATGCTACAATCACTGTAAATTGATTTAAACCCTTTAAGTTCAAAAACGAATATTTATGTTGTCAGTACATTGTGAACTTATTTCATTTGAGTCCACTGAACAAATAATATTTCTTCATGCAAAATTAACACGCAAGAGAACATCAACATATTTTAGTTCGTCCTCAAGCTAAACACAGACTTTATTCTACAGCACATTTGCAACCCACAAAACTCAACAGAAACTCTATTAAACTCCACACAACAGAACATTAATCACAGATCTTCCTCATATTCAAAAACAAAACAAATAACATGTGTTTTATTTGTAGAATAACATTTATTCTCTGGGTTCACACAACTATTTTCTTATAAGTGCAATGAACTTTCACTAATAGTTGAGTGAAATTCATTCATTTTTTTATTTTTTATTTGACTGTTAGGTTTAATGGTATTACTGCATTTGTTTCAGTATCATAAAATTAATTTACAGTATATTACTGTTAAAATCCACTTCATGGTGTGTCTTTTTATCTAAACCCCTCAGCAAAACCCTCAACGTTAAATGAACACTGCTCAGTGTGTGATTTATTAAGTGAAGATTGAACATTAGTTATGAACATCTGCTGTTAGCAATCAGAATCACTGATGGAAAGAGAAACACAATGATTACAACTGACTTCCAGTCACAGCATTAGATGAAATCAACTGAAATAAAAGAAGACATCAAATCTCTTAAGATCTCAGCAGAGGAGGATTAAACAACTCCACAAACAGCATCACTTACTAACCAGGAGCCTATACGAAGCTGGTTTATCTGATACAATCAAAGTGATAATAATTTAGTATAATTATTTTATATGATTTATTATGGAAACAATGCACTGTCTAGTCTAGTAGCATTGGTGTAAACTGGCAGGTAACACTACTACACCGGAGGCGAACAGGCCGACACGCTGCGTTTCAGCACATAGAACCCATTATAATCAACAATCTGACACTATCTATCTATCTGAAACATGCTAGCAATGTGATGATACCAGCAACTTCATACCAACACTCTACCATCCAAGCCATCCTAGCAACCACCTAGAGTACCCTAGCAGCTGCATAGCAACACCCTAGCAACCACCCTGGGTACCCTAGCAACTGCATATCAACACTTTAGCAACCACCCTGAGTACCCTTGCAACCACATAGCAATACTTTAGCAACCAACCTAAGAACCTTAACAGCCAAGTCAAGTAAAGTCAAGTCACCTTTATTTGTATTGTGCTTTATACAATACTGATTTACAGAGTCAAAATCTGTGAAAATAGTTTGTCAATAATGCAAGAAGACAATAACAAAGAGTCATTTTTCAGCTAAAGTCAGTTCATTGATGAGCAAAACTTTAGCAACCACCCTGGATACTCTAGCAACTACATAGCAACAGCCTAGCAACCACATAGCAACACTCTAGCAACCAACCCAGGTACCCTAGCAACACCTTAGCAACCATCCAGAGTATTCTTGTCTTGACCAATTATAATTAAGAAGATAATTAATATTATGATGATGATGATGATAATTATTATTATTATTATTATTATTATTATTAAGCTTTTATTTTAAATTAATATAAATATATACATATAATATGCAATATAAAAAAGCTTTAGATTCAATAGATAAAGCTTTAAACATGACTACATGTAAACTTAGATTTTTCAATATCTGTATAATTATATATATGAACAATTATGTAAACTAACTTCTCAGCTTTCACTTGCACTGATATGGCAAGTTTTCTTTAAGTTGTCCTCTTTCATGGACAGCTCTTTTTATCTTGCTGTGTAAATGTGTTTCAATTCTTCATATTCTTCAATTGTTGAATCACAGTTTCAAGGCCTGTGATTGGCTATTCATAACATAGCAAGCAGTCTTGACTTTTATTCACATATTCACATGCTTTTTGGATCTGCTAAGTTCTTGGTTTCCTCAACTTTTAATGGAAACCTCTCGTATTTCATTTAAAGTGTCTTCATTTGTGTTTCAAAGATTAACCAAAGTCTTCTGGGTTTGAAAGCACATGAGGGTGAGTAAAAACTGTGTGTAAATATAACTGCATTGCATAACTAAAACAACTACACTGCAGAGTATCTGTCCTACAAAGAAACATCTTATGTTTTTCTTCTGAACAGAATGATGATTAAAAGTTAATTGTTTCAGTCCTCTTTTAAGAACAGATGTGGCTGATACAGAAGATTTAAGAAAATATTTGAGCTTCAAAAATACAGTGCCGTTCAAAAGTTTGGGGTCAGTATTTTCTTTCTTTTAAAGAAATAAATACTTTTATTCAGCAAGAATGTGTTAAATTTATTATAAAATGATAGTAAAGCCTTATATTCTTAGAAAATATTTATATTTTGAATAAATGCTGCTCTTTTTATATTTTTCTTTAATCAAATAATCCTAACACAGTGTCTTGATTCTGACGTCACTTCCTGTTTGTTGCTGCCGTGTGGTTTGAGTTTGAGCTCCGTCAAGTTAATTCTTTGTCGTCTAATTTTTTATCTTAAAATAAATTTTATACACCATCCTTTTTCAGTTCTATAACGTGTGAATATATCCCCTATCGTATTCTACAACAAAAACAATCAGAGCGCCTTGTTATCACTAGTTCTATTTTTGACTTTCCGAGTCCGCTATTAGCATATAGCCCGCTAGCATCGCCAGCGTGGTAGCAGCTAATCTCGCTTACACTAATACTCTATTCACACACATTACCATTGTTTTACTCACTGTTACTTGCTTTAATGGCAGATGTGTGTCTACCTTTGAGTGCAGGTGAGGACACGTTCAAGCTGCATTCGGTGTGTTCAGTTGCTTTGTCACAATCTGTATTGTTAAAAGCGATATATAAATAAAGGTGACTTGAAAGGTGACTTAAAAAAAAAATTCACAGGTTCCAAAAAAATATTAAGCAGCACAACTGTTTCCAAAATTGATAATAAGTCAGCATATCAGAATGATTTCTGAATGATTTATCGAAGGATCATGTGACACTGACAAATGGAGTAATGGCTGATGAAAATTCAGCTTTGTATCACAGAAATAAATTATATTTTGAAGTATACTAGAGTCATGACCAAAAGTTTTGGCAGTGACAAAAATGTTGTGTTTTGCAAAGTTTGCTGCTTAAGCTGTTGTGGTGTTCATTCACATTGTTTCTAGATGATTGTGTAGAGTGATCAGATGCATTTTAAATAATTGCTAAAAGCTTAATTGGCCAAAAAAAAGAACTTTTCACAAAAAAAACAAAAAAAAAAAACATCA